CAAATGAAGCAAAAGCAGGGGGAGCCGGTGTTATTAGGGGTGTCTGTCTGCACCCTGAGGTGCTGACCCTCAGCCAGGAGTTTGGGTGACTGCCCCTGGGTGAGAAGGAGCCAGAAGGTGGCTGTGTCTCCCCAGCCAGCCTGGAGCTACTCTGCTGGGACAGGACAAGTGCATTCATGGCCCTGCCAGTGTGTTTACTGGTACCACCCCACTGTGTCCATACCAAAATAAGGAGATTTCCAGGCTTCTGCTGTCTGGTGTCATGGCAGCTTGAGACATGGCAGAGTGACCATGCACTGGTCCATAGATGTCTTTGGAGACCTAACCAGCACTCTCACCATCTAGCAAGATTTAAGTTTCTGTTGATACTTAAGTACTGGAGTTGAGTGACTCCAAGGAGCGATGGTTAATAATAAAGACATTTTAGACTTCTTTTAGATATTTGTTCTCAGTCTGGATGATCTGACCTTCAAAAAATATTGTACTTTAAAAGGTAGGGTGGAAAAACACCTTCTTAGATGTATGGCCTGAGCCAGAAGCTTAATAGTCCTATGTAGGTCTTTGTAAGTTCCAGGAAGGTTAGTGTGATCCTACCACCAGTACACAGAAGTACAACCAGCAGCTTCAGGGAGATTTGTCTGGCCTTTGCTGCCTTCTGTGCTGGATACAGAGTATGTGAAGATGGTTCATGTTTTGGGTCATTAGGACTAAATCCACCAAAGACACAAGACACTGCATGTCGAGCTTGCAGTTACTCCTGTCCTTCCCACCATAAAGGTCTTTGAGAAAGGTCAGTCCCTCAGGAAACCCAAATTCTGTGCCTAGCAAGGACTATCTGACAATTTGTGATGAAGCAGTTCTAAACCCCTGATGGTTTCAGGGCAGCTGGAAGGGTATTTTCTGGGCATAAGCATGCCCTTAGTTTTCCCAGGATTTCCTAAGTACAACCTTGTGGGAACCACTCTGCCACATCTAGATCCTGCCTCAGTTTTCTTCACCCAAGGGACCTCCACAACGAGCACCTCAAATCTGAAGACTGCAGGGGGAAGCCTGGTGTCTCAATGAACACTATTAATACAGCTATTGTACAATTCGTGATCATTGGAGATCTCACCTTACAGCCATGCATTTATTGGATGTATTTATTTATGACGAATGCACATGGTACCCAAAGATTTTCTACATCCCTGATATAAGCCTCGACAGATTTCTGTGGGCAAATATTGAAGGGGAAAAAAAAATGTTCAGCTTCTGTATTTTTATGTTTTTCTCTCTGATTGAGGTTAGTTTTAATCTTTTCAATACATGCTCCAGTATTTTTCCGAGCCTGCCATTTCATGGGATTATTCAGAAATAAACTCTTAGATTTTCTAGTTCCTATGCTACCTTCATTCCCCTGGTAATGTTCATGGGTAGAGAAGCCTTAACATTCATTACAAAGGCAAACCATTCAGCCCCCAAGACTGAATACAGGCCCAGTAAAAAACAAAATTATCCTTCCTTGATATTATGAACAGCTGTTTTCTGTAACTCCTTTTTAGGAGACTGTAATACACAATCAGAGCAATGCCATGTCATTGAAATGAGCATATTACTAACTTGAAATAAGGATAAAACCTGCCACTGCTCCATTTAAAAATAATGCAGTTTGGGCTTTGTGGGCATTACTTCTGCTCCAGAGTACACACGGCAGCTTACTGGATGGTCATCCACAAAAGCATTCGCTTCGGGCTGGAACGAGCTGTCGCGCTGACGGAGCAGCACGGATCCCTTGGGAAGCCACGGACCTGCTCCTTGCTAACTGCAGTGCTGGGAACTGCCATGAAACTCATTGCTGAGTAGGGCTCATCCTGGACTGAGGTCAGCAAGGTTAATTTGGCTCAAAGCTAAAGCAGAAGCAACCTCATGCTCCTGACAATCCCTTCCTTATGTTTTCCTCCCTTGGTCAGCTGCGGCACCTGGTTAGCTGTCTGCAGACCTGTGCTTGAGAGATAACTGAGCTGCAGCACTTCAGCCATCGAGTGGGGGGCGGGAGGGAAAAACAACCCAAGAGCAAATTTTCTGCAGCCCTTGTTGGCACCCATGCTGTGCAATCGTAAATTTTTTATAAGCCGGAGCCCTGCACCAAGAATGACTGCAACAGAAGAAAAGCATGGCCCCCACCAGCAGATATTAGCATGCGATGACCCAGCAAAGAAAGCGGAGCTGAGCCGGTGCATCATTCGCTTGCCCGGTTACTTGAGTCTGTTTCTTCAGCTCAGCATCTCAAGCGCTTTGGGAGGCAGATTTAATCCGCTGGCTGTTGCAGCCCTCTCGTGGTCACAGAGACCCAACCGCGCTCCTGCGTGCCGGCGGCTGGGAAACCACAGACCAAAATTCTGTGTGGGAGGACAGCATATTTTAAAAAGCACAACAAATAGTTATTAAATAGCGCATTTATCCAAGAATAAATATATAAATAAATGGAACAGGCATTTAGGATAGTATTTGTTCCAGGTGTACAAGCAGAGTCATTGTTAAATGACTTGCTTTTCAAGAATCAAAAGAAAAATTACAGATAAAGCATTAAGCAGTCGTGGTTTTAATGGGGTGCCCTGTTTCATCTCCCTAGGCTGTCACTAAACAGTCTGCTTTGAAGTGCTCCTTTTCTTTTGAGCATTTGCACATTGATTTACAATGGGGTGGGTAAATTTTGTGCTCACGAGTTTTGCTGAGTATCTGCTTACTGGAAACGCGTCTATCTGCCTGCTCAGGAAACTCCAAGGAGGGGTGAAAACCTCCTGGGCTGGGGAAGATCTGGGGGAGCCTGGACTCTTCCCAATTTCTGCAAAGACTAACAGGTAGATGGTTCTTTGGAGCTTCAAAAACAAGCCTGGTTTTTGATATATTTTGTTTTACCTTTTAATCTACCGGGGGAGAGAGAGACATCACTAACACTTGGAAATAAGCCATGGGAATCAATAGTGGAAGGAGAACATTGGTGGGAGCAGTGCTGAGAGCCTGTCCAACAGCCCTGCTGTACACTCCCTGCCCAGTGCTGCCAGCGAGCACAATCAAAGGAGATACCTATAGAATAAAAAATAAAATGGATCAAAATGAAAAGCTTGTTCATAGGTTTGGGATACTCTGGAGGAGGCTGTCCAGTTTTGATTGATGTTTCTTTTAGACTGACAGCAATGGTACTTACAGACCAGAGTGCCGCAGTCCTGCCAGAGGGATGACGTTCCGCTATCGTTTTCCCACTGCTTTCCTCTTTTTTTCCTTACAGTAGTTTCAGAGGAAACATCTGCAGGAGAAATGGCTGTATTTCGAAAAGATAGGAAAAAAACCAAACCAAAACTAAAAAAAAAAAACCACAAAGCACAAAGTGGAGCCATGACAACTGTGTGAGCTGACATTACCTTTTCAGACAGGAGCGCTGCTACCTCTGGCAGTAACGGCATCCAGGCAGACGGATGGGGGGGATGCAGGATTAGCGGGGTCAGCAGGACTCTGGGTGACAATGACTTCTAATATTTTGCAAGCCAGTGTGCCAACCCATGTGTTCATGATGCTGGAACAAGCCTTTTGATCAATGCCAGGCATCGGTAAGGCAGCAGTATCTGAGCCTCTTCAGATGCACATGGGCATGTGTTTTCCAGCTTAAGCACAGAAAAAAATCAGTTTATAGAGGTGGGCTCTGCGCCTGCAGGTATTTTTCATCTGAGCTGGTGCTTTCGGCCCCGAGAGGTATTTGCAATGAGGCCAGCAGGACTGCAGGCTCCTTTGCCCACCATGCGCCCAGCCCAAGGTCTGCACAGCACCATGGCCCTAAATGCCACCGGTGTCCCACGCAGGGTCTCCCTTTCCAGTTGGCTACCCTGGCAGCACCTTCTTTAGCCCTCTGAATAACTCAGGACCCTGTGGAAGTAGTCTTAACTTACCTGTATTAGCACCTTAATCACATACATTATATTTAAGTCATGTAGGTGCTGCGTTGCTGGGCTGCAGCAAGGCTGCTTTGAGTGAACCAAGCTGCCTCCCATGGCTGCGGCACAAGGACGAGCTGCAGCTCACACCCAGTGCTTTCACAGCCTCAGGCTCGTCTTTTTCTCACTTACAGGAAACCCTTAATGCTTCCATAAAACTCTATTTTGCATTTTTTTTATTTTTAACTAAATAACCTCTTCACTTTTCATTTTCTGTAAGCCCACACGTATAGAACAAGATGTGACCTTTTTGGTTTAAGATTGCTTTTATTTTATATGGAGAAAAACAGTAGTAAGAAAGTAACAAAATTAATATCTGCCTGAAAGAGCACAGGGCAAGTAGCATCCTGGGATCCAAAAAATTCTCCAAACAAAAAGGCTGATAAATTTTTAAGACATGTCTCTATTGCGAGATGCTGAGACACTTGGGGCAGTAAATACCTACGCTGATAAAACCATGTGAAATAGCCTAGTGCAGAGCAACTTACAACTCAGGTCTGGGTGCAGTGAGGCACATTACTTGGGTGCAAAGCAGCAGGGACACCTTGCTGGTTTTGTCCTGGCGCAGCTGGAAGAGGTGGGTCTGTGCGCAGCCAGCACAGGGGCTGCAGCTTCCTCCCAGCTGCGAAGCAGCTCCTGGTCGTATAGACACATCTTTAGGCATGTAAACATGCTGGCTCTATAGAAAAGTGGAAATCCCAGTGTCAAAAGCACAGACAGGATGCATACCATTAAAAAAAAGGTCCGTGTAGGTGTTTAGTGAGATGGAGCTCTTTACTTTCTTGAAAACATTCTCCAAGGGCTGGACTAAACAGCTAGGGTGACATCTTGGCTCCATTGACCTCAGCAGGACAAAGAGCTCATCCCTGGTGTTGCAGTGTCCGCTGACCCTGGCTGAGCATGGGAGGCTGCGGATGAGCCCCACTTTCTTGCCTTCTTGCCTGCAAGTTGCCTTCTTTCTACGCTATGCCCTTCTGCGACCACATCGCCCCTATACCCACCCTAACTTGTCTTCTGCAGTTGGTCCGGACTCTAGGATTCAACCACAATCATACTCAAGTTGTTGCTGAAGATGATCCTCCCATCCTTCTTGCTGCTGCACTCGGGCTGGCAGAGAGCCTCCTGCAGCTGCCGCCGCAGCCCCGGGGGGGCCGTGCCCAGGAAGTTTTTTGTCCCGGTCAGGAAATCCATCATGCAGATTCCAACCGGGTCTCCCTCGATAAAGCACTCAGTGATATCCCAGCCTGATGGGAACTCATAAACGCGGTATTCAACACCCAGTCTCTTCAAAACATCTGTGATGCCACTGGAGGTGATGTAGTGGCCGCTGTCGGTGGAAGGCAAGCAGTGTCTGTACTTCTTCCATAAGCTGGCCCATCCGCTACTGTCTGCCAGAGCAGGAGGGAAGGTTACTTTTGCAAAGCCAAGGTAGTCAAATACAAGCTAATACAACTACTAAATGAGTTTGAAATGCTTCCTCGCTGCTGGCCCAGACTTTGCCAGCAGTAGAAGAGCTTTCCCCTTACTTGAGTCCACTTATAAATGTCCATGCCTGGAGAGTTGTAAAACTGTCATCTCCATCAGCCCTCCTTCCAAAACTCTCCTGTTTAAAGGAAAATCCGAGGAGACAGTCTCCAGCACTGGATTTCTCCGGAAGGAGGAGTACACAGAGGTATACACTGAGCCTCCATGCTACCTATTAACTACCTCTTTGATAGAATAGTGCAGGTGTTTTATACATTGAACCTCAATTTTAAGTATACATCAAAGAATACATACCTGAAAAGCCAGTCCCAGCTAGCAAGGGAAACAGCCTACCGGCAATGCTAAAGGGCATTTTAATAGCAAACGTGGGGAAATGTGCTTTATCCACGGCACCACAAGCCGGGGATCTGTGAATGGCACACTGGAAAAAAGACTCTTTTTTTAAAATAAGTGCTGTGATGTTCTAAGTGCCTCTTTTTCCTCTTGGCAGCTCCTGTTGTCCTGCTGGGGTCTGGGTCACTGCTGTGTGGAGGGAAGAGCCCCAAAGGTGGGTCCTCCCAGAGCGCAGGTTGTACAGTGCTCATTTCACCACGAAGAAGGATTGACCCTCATTCATTAATAGCCACACTTCTCTCTAGCCAGTAAGCTCACAGCAGGAGGTCTCTGCAAGTTAGAGAGCAATTCACCTACTTCATAAGCAGGGAAGCAAGAGCAGGAAGACTATGCCCATGCAGTCCCATCAAACATTGGAGTCCAAGAGGCTAAGCCCAAGATCGCTTGTTCCCTATGAAATACAGCATTTGTTTTATTTAATTAATAAGCACTACTAAAATCCTGAGATGAATATTTGTGGTTCTCGTACTTCAAAGCTCTTCAAAAAACCAGCACAGAAACAAAAAATAAAAGGCCCCTCTTACCTGATAAAATTATGATCAGGAGTTTACCATGATGATCAAGGCAGCTGTGGAAAAACTTGATAGTATTGGGAATATCTTCCACACGGTACAGCATCTAGAAGTGATAGAGTTACACACAGCCGTCATCCCTCCTCCACAGTGCAATGGCCCTTCAAAGTCTTAAACCCCTTCTCTATAGAATTGTTTTAAATTACTTCCCAGTTGCTTGCCAGCCTATCCTAACTCAGCACGCACGTTTAGAGGTGCCCTACTGGACTGAGCATCACCAGCTCTCCATCAGCACCAAGAGCCTGGGGTCAGGCCCAGGGACCCACAGCTCAGCCTCGGCCACCAGCCAGACACTGACTTGCCCATTGCTGCCTTTCAAGTCCAGTGCAGTTTTGTGGTTGGAAAATATGTGCAGAGGAGAGTCCCCTGGTTTCTGTGGCTGGTCCTTATCACCAGGAGCATTTCTTGGACGTGTCTGGGCCGTGGGCAGGAGGGATCTCTTCCAGAAACCAAGGAATTTGTACTGGGACAAAGCAGGGCTCATCTCAAAGGCTGCCCTCAGGGCTTGTAACTTAGCCCTTGACTCATCCACCAAAATTCTGAAACACTTTCCAGTTGTGAAATCAGCTCTTATGAAATGAAAGCAAAAGGAAATAAAAGCAAGGGGAAATAAAAGCAAGATGAAATAAAAGCCACTAAAGCGAGAGAACAGATTTTTTACAAGATATAATTGGTACATACAACATCAGTGTCATCAGTATCAGAAACACAGCAGCATAATTTCTGACCCAAAACCTGACACAGGTTCACTAAACTTTCCCTTCAGTGCCATCCAAACTACTCTGATTAAGCAAAAAAATTATAACTTTTTGCAGCAGCAAAGCATAATTGTTGGTCTCCGTGTGATGTGTGATGGTCTGAGACTTGTCCTGTTTTATTACCCACCATACACAGTTAAACCAGAGACCAAAACCAAGGTGGATAGGGAATGAGCTTTGGTGTTTGTAGAGCTGCTGCAGAAGCTGCTGTTCATGGGAGAACTATGATCAGTTCTGCTCCCCCTGACTTGATGCATACAGCAGAAATGAAGGGAGTAGTTAAAGCTAATTAAAACAATACTCGTTACCTGGATCATATGGATGAAGTCAAATTTCTTATGTGCACCTTTCTCTTTCACCTGTTGTTCATACTCCAAGGAAGTGAGCTGGTGCCAAATAAAAGAGACATTCTGCAGGTCTGGAGCTTGATTCACCAACTCTGTTTTAAAAAAGTAGAAGAAAAAAGTGAATTTCACAAAACAGCAGAAAAACTCATCATTCAAATCGACAGTCCTCGCTATAGCCCAGGCAGCAGGTACAGCCTTACCTTTGTAAGCTGCCACGTGCTGTGGGTTGGGCTCTATGATTTCGTTGTCAATAAAGACCCCCGGGTGCACAGCCTGCAGTATCCTGACCATTTTCAAATCCTGCTCACCTATTCAATAAACACAAATTCATTACTTTAAAAAGTACTTAAATGAGATTAAAGGATGCCAGTGCACCTGCCACCTCTGCTGCCAGGAAATCCCCCAAGCAGAATTGAGGCATTTTCTACCTTGTGGCTTGCATGGTGGCATCTAACCCAGTGATAGTCTTACCATGATATCTTACTGCTCAAGGTAACATAGAGTTACAGATAACACTAAGAACAAGGTAGAGATAAGCAACAGCACAGAAACCTGCTAATGGCAGTACTCTGGGTCACGAGACAGACAGGTCAAAACAGTCAAAGATCAATGTTCAAAAAAAGAACTAGGAAGCATTAGTTTTCAACAAAAATGCAAAGTTTGAATGGGGACATAGAGGGAATCGGCACAGTTGTGCAATTTCAAGCATCACAGGGCAGTCCATGCCTTTGGCACTGCCCTGTGGAGGTGATGGTTGCTCTACCGCTGGTGTGACATGACTTGGAGACCTGGGAAACTGCATGGCAAGAGGAAAGACCCATTGACATGCAGTACCCTGGGTCTTCCCTCTTTGGGGCCTGACCACATGGTCTCAGCTCTGGGTATCTACTAACTAGTTGTTATCTTGGAGTTGCAAATAGAGAGTCGAGTCACATATTGGCATGTAGGTGCCCTGCAGATTTAGCTATTGGTGCTCCTCTGTTGTTGTCTGAGCTCTGGAGGAGCAAGCAGCAGTCTGTCCTTCTGTCCTAGGAAGTTCCCAGCCTCTTTCAAGGCGATGCAGATCACCCTTGTTTCTTTCAGAAAGGCCATGATACACCGAGCGTGCAAAGTCCACCTGGTTCATCTGGGACTATGGAAATAAACAGCAGAGGTGACCACCTTGAGTGAACCTTTGCGAGAATCCTGCCTGTAGCTGATGGTGGGGCCTAAAAATAGTCCTGCCCTTGCAAATGTCACACACAGAGGGCTTGATACGAGATACTGCATCTTCCTTAGCCTTTCAGCTGGTGTACCAGCTATGACAAAAGTCGTCATCTTTGGCAGGTGTTGCAGTAAGTAGAATTCAAGGAGGGAAATATCAGCCATGCCAGCACCACAGGGACATTTAAGGACAGACGGGTCTTTTGAAATTGGAGAAAAAAATACCCAAGACCCCTGAGGAATGCAGTGGCAGTGGTGCAGGGCTGGCCAAAGGCAGAAGGAAAGAGGCTGAGGCTCCATCTGTTGAAGATAGGTGCATGGACCAATATTGTTGACACTGGTATTTCAAGGCAGATCCCTATAGCAAGCAGCTAAATTGAATCAGACAGTCCTAAACGCCAGTTAGTAGGTGCCTTGGAGTGGGAAGCACCAGCAATTAGAGGTGCTGATGTGGGTTCCCCACAGGCTCAGGGGAGGCAGGGCATCACTGCCCCATGCCCTGGAGCCACTGGTGGTAGCAAATGGATATATCAACAGCAAATGAGTATTTTAAAAGTTGTTTGGGTTTTTTTTACTCCATCTCTGTAAAACGCCCAAACCCAGTCTTTGCAAGAGCAGGTAATAGCATCCTCAGCTGGGGTGTCTGCAAAAACAAGCGGTAAAATACAATGCTTCAGAGCAGGAATTTCTCTGCTCCGCCTTGCCCTGCCAGCAACAACCCTTCAGCACTAACCACAGTGAGGCTGAAACAGCAGTGAAACCCCACTGCAAACAGCAGGCCACACTGGCACTAACTGGGAGGTTGCAGTCGAGATAGTTAAACCAGCCATGGGAAAACGTGAGGTGAATGAGAAAATGCAATCTGGACCGACCAGCAGTCTTTTAGGATGTGGAGTAGGTCACTAATCCCCATTAATATTTTCGTCAACTAAACTAGTTCTGGGGGCTCGGTGAAATCAGAGTCCAAGGCTGGAAAGGTCAGGGATCAGATATAGCCTTTTGCTCAATGCCATCCTAGCTCACTCCTCTGCCCGGCTGCAGAAGTTCAGCTCTTACAGCTGTGGGCAAGCTGAGGGTGTGCGAGTCCCTGAGGGGCAGCTACCCAGGAAACCCAGGCAGTTTTAGGGTTTTTATTTTTCCATTAAAACATCTTCTGAAGAGGAAATAAGAAAAAATGAGGACGATGTGAAAAATTCATTTTTTCCCTTGTGTTTTCTTGGAGTCAGAATTTTGGTTTTATATTACTTAATGAAAATGGAGTGTAATTGAGAACTGAATGATTTCTTCCTGCCTGCTTTCTCATATGCTCCAACATATTCTCAACGGGGGAAAACAATTCAACGCTATTTTTCTCTTACGCAGGAAAACAAGCAAAAAAAAAAGTGAGAAAAATACTTTCATTTGAAAATATTAACACTTAAAATTCAGCTGAAAATACTTTTTAAAGCAAAAGTAGATTCTGACAAATCTAACTGCCACTTCCTTTCTCTACTTTTTATTTTCTTGCAGTTTCCCTAGGAGCGAAGTTGGATGGTTCACCACTTTTTCATTAGCAAATGTCTCCCAGCACCCCAAGGAAATAGCTACCAATAATTTACAAAGATAGGTATGCTCTCTGGTGACACATTCTAGAATTATTTGTAGCATATGGGATCTACAGTGCTTTTCAGAATTAGCCCACTCATTTTATTCCAAATTAAGATTTCATCTAATTTTGGTGTAAGAACTGCCACCTCAAAAAACAGACAGTGCTAAAACCATTTGGCATTCTGCAAGGTTTTCTCAGTGGTCTGTGACTGTGCATGTTCCTTCCAGCTAATAAGTTCAGTGTGCCATCATCAGACTTTTTTTTTTTTTTAAAAAAACACAAATGCATTTACAACAGCTTTAAAGCTATTTTTTCCAAAAGATGGGTTTCTCTCTGGGGGGAAATATCATTTGCAGTTAAACTCTACTTATCACCGGGTAAAAACACAGCACTAACAAAGAAACACATCTTGAAAAAGCTGACGAGGCCCTGTGCTAATGGTTGTGGCCAGCGGGTTTTGCACCACCTGGAGCAGAGCATTGCCCAGCTTTGGCCTCCAGGATCCCTAAAAGGAAAGCAAAATGAGAGATCCCTTCAGGCAGGATATTCTAAGACAGGACTTTGGGTGGAACGAACCTCTCGGGTGTCTCTAATTCTCTCCGACGAGGTTTGAAAATGCTCTTATACCTAACCCAGAGCAGGACTCCTTGCTCTGAGACATATAAAGTCAGGTGAGAGTCATCAAGAGGCAGAGACTAAGCTAAAATCATCACACTCATCTCACTTCTTGGACAGATTTGAGCAGCAGTGTTTCATAAGGGAGATGGGGAAGGAAGGGAGGGAGCATTGCTCTCGTCCCAGCTCCACACCTTGTTTTGCTGTTCTCTGCTTCAACGAGAAATGCTGTTATTAACACCCATTGCTCAAAATTTCAGTATCACTTTCTGCTACCCATAGGGACCCCCTGCCCCCCAGCAGCAGCGGTGCTGCTGAGCTCCTTACCTGTGCCACTTCCAACTCCCAGAACATTTATAGTCGATTTTCCATTGCCGAAACTGAAACAATAAGTACACATTACTTCACCACACTATGTCACACAACTTTATGTTTTAATTCTAATATCTTGGATGCCACATTGGTCCGGAAATTTAACTGAGTTTTGCCACATGAATTGGGATAGAAATTCAAGCATCCCTTTGGAGCCCAGCTATAACCAACTGTGTGGCGGGAGCCAGCCCCATATTAGCAAGCTCATATTTCACAGTACAGTAGGAATCAGGATATAGTGTTTCTCTTCCTCTGCCAGAGAGTTTTCTTCAAACTGTGGCTGGCACCATGCAAAAAGGCCCCGGGGAACCCCAGGGCAAAGGGTTCTTTTCAGGGGGAGTGGGGCTGTGCCTGGCCGGGATCGAGGCACCTCGCTGCTGTGACATTTTTTTATGGCTTTATTCTGCTCTCAGGCATTCACTGTGCAGAGGGATTGAGTTTCCCATACAGAATCTCAGGAGACACCACAGCAATGATTCAACAAGAGGGGAGAGAGCAGGGAATCCTGCAGGGTGTGAGCTAGACAAGTAGCCTTAGCCCTAATGAGGGTCAAGACCCTGTGACAGACCCACAATCAGCATCACAGGAAGCCACAATGTTTTGCATCACTTAAAATTCACCTAAGTAATTTTTCCAATTAAAATATCCCAATACAAATTATTTTTTAATTATTATTTTATTGCTTATTTTTTATATATCTAGCTGGAGAATAAAAATTTGCCTGCCTAAATTTTTTTCTCCATAGAGAATACGGTTTCCGTAACATCCAAAAATTACCCAAACTTAAAAGATCTTTCTTGTGGTTTGGATCTAGGCTGCTCTAAAATTTATCTGCAGTCATCCAGGCTTAATATATTACATCAATACTTCACAAAACTGATTATCATTTGGTAGTTAAGCAATGCAAATCGACTTAGGATAGAAATAAGCAGGTCTTAGGGGATTGAGAAAACCAGGAATTAATCACTAGAAGAGAATTAGAGATGTGTTTCTGTTTGGACTGATGTGTGATGAAGTTCCAAAAGTAGGGAGAGAGCACAAAAGATAGCTTTCTTTTGAAAAAGCAAACAAATAAACAAACAAACAACAAAAAATACTTTAATCCTTGGAAAATCAGCTAATTGAAAAGAGATGGACATGAAAATGAGGTCTTGATTCTTTCCTTAACATAAGCCGAGAGGCAGCACAGTGTATTAATTGAAACATCACGTATTCTGGAGTCATTAAACAGAATATCCTAAAGACCGCTATTAAGGGACTTAAAATTGAAAAGCATTAAAAATTCATTCATGCCCCAGAAAATCCTTAAACACATTTGGTGACCCTTGGTGCAGGTTGCCCTCCCAAGATAACAGATGGCTTTCCCACTTTGGTGGATGCGTTCCTTACCCAGCCATGATGTTGGGCATTTCTTTCTTGTTGAACTCATCCATGCACTGGTGCTCTGTTGAATGATCCAAAAATGACTTAAAGGCTTCTACATACTCCTCGACTGTGAGGCTTCTCATGGAAGGGATCACATATAGCTCTTGAGAAATAAATACAAATTGTGTGTTAGTGGCTTCAAGGCAAGTGAAGGATCAAAGCACTTGCCTCATGGAAGAAACCCAACCCAACCCAAGAGAAGCCAGAGATTCAGGAAGACAGTAGAGAGGACGCATGGCCCAGAAGCCGTCCAAGCAGGTGGGCTCATGTGAACACTTTCCAACCTGTTCACACTCAGGGTTTGAAAATTATTCTTAGATACCTTTTGACATCAGCATATTTCTTAAGTGCCTCATTACTACAGGTGTCTCTGAGGAAAATACCCCCTTAATTTCCTGAAGATGCTTAGGTAGATATGGGCTACTCGATTTGCAGAAAGGGAGGTAACTGGAGTGTTTTTCTGGAAGACTCAAGGCAAGAAGGTGAAGGGAATCGCACAGCAGGTCCAAACCTGGAGGGTCCATCACTCTTGCACATGCTGGACGGTGTAACTGAAATCGCCAGCTGTTGGCACACTTGCTATTAAGGGTGATGCAACACAAAAACTGCCACCGGCAGGTAAAGCAAAAGTAGTCAATGCCGTGCACCTCAATTCTGACTTTTGCCAGCATGGGACTGCAATGCACTGCCAGAGAGGTGAATTCCCCACAGGGAACTGCAGCTCGTGGCCAGGAGGGCAACTGATAGCAAAAGCATTTCATCTGAACGGGCTCATGCTCAAATGTGGGCAGCTGAGACCAAGATTTCTAGCTCTGAACCAACACTCAGGGCTACTCAAGGGGTTGCAAGCAATTATTGCAAAAACTCACTTTCCTGCTGTCTCATCCTAATAAGAGCACTGCTGCCAGGGCACAGGCTCTGGCCAACCGCTCAGGTCTGAGGAGCAATCACACAACTAAGACTTGAGGCTCATGAGAAGATGTCATGCAGCTGAGTACTGGTGCTGGTCTATCTCAGACAGAGGGCTGCAGTAGGAAGGCAGTCGTAGTGCCAGGCTCAACATGTGAGATCAACGTTGGAAAGGCAGCATTCAATAGGAAAAAAATCAGCTTTTCCTCCTAAATGAAATGAGGATGAAGGACAGAACTCAGCAGAACATCTTCATCCTCATTTTTGACTTTTGAGGAGCTGCTTATTTATCACCTGCTTTTAGTTGCCACTAGTAAGAAAACTATGTATGCTTCATACAGGACTGTGCAATCTTAAATTGAATGCCTGTGCTGTTTCCAAAACCACATGTCATTGGCAGCTGTGTTTCTGGTAGGTATGTAAGGAGACCCTATGTCCAGCCCTATTGGAGGTAAAGGTACCAACATCTATCCTGAACGCTGAACTATACCCTAACACAAACTGAAATCACCTGAATTGCAGTCAGTTTAGCATCCTGTTTCTTTTTGGTTTTTTTTAAACAATCTCTAACTCCAAAAGAATTAAAACGTGTTTGTAGTGATAGCAAGCTGAGTGGGCATTTTACTTTAATCTCCTTTTTTTTATCTCCCAAATACCTGAATTATCGTGTGGAGCTGTCAGAATCTCTGCTTCAAAGTTCATGCTGGGGAACCTATTCCTGTAAGGAAAGTATAGCACTTCAGTTATTTGAAGAACCTGTATGCTTTTTTGAAGCTGCATTGAAAATGCAGAACAAAAGGAAGATACTCCAGGACAAATTTTCCTCGCCTGATAATCAGTGCTATTTGTTCTCTTTTACTAGACCAAAGAAAGGCAAAACTTCTTGGTTAGCTGATCACCTGTAAGTATCAGCAACGGACTGGCCACCAGTGCTTGCCTGAGATGCGTTGTGGAAGCTTTTCCTCCCTCTGAAGAATCATTAACCAGTCAATACAGTGGAAGGCTTTAGACTAACTGATATTACACACTCTGTGAAACCTTAATCATGAATGGAGTAGAAGAAATAGCAGTGAAATTAGGAAAAGGCTATAGTGAGCTTCAGCATCTGAAGTGCTAAAAGATCTGCTTGGCCCAATGTTTCTGGGACCTTTTTGTTTTGCTTTTTTTTTTTTTAAGTTCAGTTTTTCCTGGCTGCAAATATTACATTCGGTCATTTGTAGAAGGCACAGGACTCAAAGAGCAAAAGTCAGAGGTCATTTGACCATAAATGTTTTCATTCGGTCATATGTTTTCATTCTTAGTGTGGGGGTTTTTACGAAGACTTCCAGCAATGAAGTCACATCTTCATTTTCCTTTGACAACATGTCTCATCTATAAAATATGGATGAGGTGCCACTAGCAAAAGGAAGGGATGAAATTAAATTGGAGCAAGGATCTCACTTCTGCAAAGAAAATGTTGGGGTGAGGCTATCTATGCAAGGGGAATAGTCATCTTCTGGGTAACCACATTTCAATATCAGGATGCACAGCAAGACTTAGGGGTGATATTCCTGTGTAACCTGAGTTTAGACACATTGCTGCTCCCAAAGCTTTGCCATTAGAAAATGCTTCATGACAAGCAGTCTGCAATAGCAGTAAGCAGCTCCCGCGTCCCCTCTGCCAGGGAGAAAACTCCTACGTGAATAAGAAGCAAGCCAGGAGGTGGAAAAGAAAAAGGGGAGTCTTGTAGTAGGGCTTTGAGATAGAAATACGTAATGACTGTGCTAGCAGGTAGCAAGGAAGTGGCCACATGCGCAAACAGTGTGCTGCTTTGGTTGATGAAGGCAAGAAAAGACTAAGGTGAACCAGAAGTCTCAGAGACACTGGGGCACTGCCAGAGTCCTGCAGGAGTGGCTGAGTTCATCTGAGTTCACTGCCAAAGTCACACACCTAGCTGCCAACAGGTACATCAAAGGTCTCGGTTCCACCACCCTGAGCTCACTCCCCTCCCGGAAAAGACCACGCATTTTTTTTCAAGCCTGAGCTCAGCCTCCTTCATAAGCTCCAGCTTGGCTGCAGGCCAGTCCCTCTAATTTCCACGCAACCTTCTGACCTCTTCTATCTCTGCCTGTCAAAACAGTGGACTAGCCTGTCCTCTCAGCTGGCTGAACCGAGCAAGATGGTTTTCAGAATAAATCTGCCAGTAAAATGCCGAGGGGTAGCGTGGCTTCCCCTGCACAGAGAGGAACAGCTCTCGGGATCCGGGGACATGAACTCCATTTCTGACCGGTCAAATGTTTCCAGCCATCCCAGGATGGTGTCATCCCAGCCAGGTGACCTGGACAGACTGCGGCACAAGCATTCACCGGGACAGATGATGCCAAGTTAACCCTTCCACCAAGACTTTTGCCATTTCTCTCCAGGCAGGGTTTCTAAGATTAACGCTTGTTGCCAGGAAGGTGAAACAGACTTAATTATTGCTGGGAACAAATGGACTTCCTCTAAAATCTGGCTTAAAATCTAGCCTAGATCTGAAAATTGACTGCAATACTTTGGGCTGGTGCTGCTTGATACCCAACAGCAGGACTGAAGCAGTGACTGCCAGGGAGTGGGATGCTCGTGGGCACGGCTCGTCCTGCCGCGGCTGCTGGCTAAGTCAGAGCGCGCTGTTAGCAAGGTTAAACATCTTTCCCTCTGTGAACTGAGCAGGTTGCATTATGGACTGCAGGTGCAGGGCACAGAGGGAATTCACAGTGTCACTTTAAGTGACGCAGCACCTTTAAGTTGAAAAAGTCATTAAATTCAAGATGTTTCTAGCAACATAAATTGCAAGAACGTCTTCATAACTCATCATTTCATTACACCTAAACTTAGGCTGCTGAGGGGCTAAAGGTCTCCTCAGAAAGCCTAGCTTAGCCCCCATCCCTCCCAGGACATGGGCACATCTGCTGTTACTCCCACCTTCCACACGTCCACTGGTGACACAGGGACAGCAGGGGCTGGCTCTGCCACCCAGCCGGACGGTGGGGAAACACGCACCCTCGCTCCTTTCCAAAATCCACGTACCTCTTCATCTCCGGGACCAGGTCCATGGTTGGGGTGGGTGCCGTGCCGGGGCACGATGTCTGGGCACGGTGCTGGGGGTTAACTAGGCTCCTGGCCCCTACGTTAGCGTGTCCACCTGCCGCCCCGCTCCGCGCCAGCCGCTCAACCCGCTGTGCCGCCAGCAGTGACCCCGGCGTGTGGCCGTGGCTCTGCCGGCACCTGTCGGGACAGGCAGCGTCACTGGAGCGAGAAGGGGAAACCCGAGCCCCGCGGGGAAGGAGCGAGGGGCTGGGGCGGGTGATGCGCAAGGCCTGACGTCTGCGGGGCTGTCCTCATCACATGGGAGCTGTGCTGTTTTCAAGGGGAGGGAATAAAAAAAGGGACAGATTGAGATTTCAAAAATCTTTAAAACCTGAATGGAAGTGACTGAGGGGTGTCAGCTGGAGCTGGGCAGACCCAGGGGCCACTTTCACCCACTTTTTAATTTGCTTTGAACCCTGCCTCTCTTTCGTGCTCGCTGCCCCGGGCGGGAGGAGATGTTATTTCCACATCCTTGCTGGGCTGCTGCCTGGCAGACGGACATGTTGGGGATGCGCTGGGAGATCCCTGCTTTCTCCGGAGAGAAGAGGGGCTCTCTGCCTGCTCAGAGATCTGAGCAAGTGATTTTTCCATCTCTGATTCAGGGGGAAATGGGGCATAATGGCAGTACCTGCCAGTGGGCACTGCAGCCCCGCCGGCAGCCTGGCACCCCCCCGTCCCTGCCCTGCGAAGGGGACGGGTGGGACGGGCAGCCGGGGTCGGGGCAGCAAGCCCAGCCTGCTCCCACTCTGTTTGCTAAACCACAGTGATCAGACAGCAAGGAAACATTTTTGGAGGAGAGCTTTCCAAGCCAGAGGTGGCTGGAGGTCACCCAGGATGGGATGGCACGGCTGGAGGTACAGTAGTCACTGTTACAAATACAGAAAATCCTGGGTGCTCCCTGCACCTGGATTCAGTCTTTTCTCCTACCAGCATCCACAAGAATGATGTTCCTTTTGACTAAAATCTAATAACACAAATGTAAAAAAGAAAGGATTTAGAGACTTTATATTTCCAAGTGAGGTCTGGTGGTGGAAAGCACAGCACTAGGATCCCCTCCACTCCCTTTCTCTGAAGGCAATGGGCAAAACAGCTTTAGCAGACGACAAATAAAACCTCCTCCCTTGCTGAGATCCCTCCCCCAAAACACAGCCTGCCCTGCACAGCTCACCCAGGCCAGGGATCATGTCCTCAGGTGGGTATGCTTCAGCATCAAGTGACCTGTCTTGGTTTATACTAGATTTGGCTTCCAAATGGATCTAAGTTATCTCCACCCCAAGGTAGGTCGGCAGCAGCATGTTAAGCTAGAAACAGCCACACCACTGCTCTTAACCAAAATATTCAAATCACAGGTGAGGAAAGACCAGAACCTCTTTGCTAGCTCTAAAAAACAGATTTAGCTCCTGGTGCTGTTTGATCACCCAGGCAGTGATTTTCCATCCGCCATTTCAATCCCTAAATATTTCCACCAGAGACGCCAGCCCCCAGACACCAACCACGCACCGGTGGATGGCACCTGGTGTTTCTCAGCCAAGCCCCACACTCGGCAGCCGCAGCTCCCTCGTGTCCCCCAGCCATCTCCGCCTCGTCCCAGCTAAGCCACACCGCCCGCTCTGGCCCAGGCACCCCTCCACCCCGCCGTGCCACTGGCAGGAATGGACACCCCGCAGGTCTCAGCAGAAAGCCATACCTCCCCGAAGCAATAGGAGCTGTAGGAAGCTTCCAGCACCCAGGAGCTGCACAGCCCTTGGAAACCTCCTTGTACATCCACTGGGGGCTGATACCCCTCCCCGGCCCCGCCATGGCCCACCCCCGGCTCCAACAGCCCACGTAGGCTCATGCCACAGCTGAACCGGCATTAGCCTACAACAACAGCCTTTGTTCCCCTGGTGCTGGAAACTAATTGGCAGCAGGGTGGCTTTGGAGGATGTACCCACCCCACGCTGTGCTCTCGGTTGTTCTGGCAAGCTCGTGACTAAATCCACGCTAAACTGTGTTTTTCGTACAAACTGGGGCTTTTTGATCTTTGAGGTGGGATGATGGCTAAAGCTAGAGCCAGGCTGCAGCGAGAGAAAAACAAAGCAACAGTGTTTTTCCCCACACGCTGCGGCCGTAGAGGTCAGTTTTGGGCTGATCCTGCAGAAATAGGTCATTTGCTTTTCCCAGGGGCAAGCCTGCCCGGGGCTGGTATCGCCCACGGTGCTGAGCCCCCTCGATGCCCCGGCTCCATCACCCCACCACGACAAGCCTTGGATCTGCACCTGCAGGCAGGAAAGTCTGAGTATTTGGAAATCAAATTTAAATGAATTTATTTTCTAAAGCGTGATCAGCTTTTTGGCTGATGAACATCAGGGAGGTTCTAGGCATTTCTACAGGGTTCTTCATGGTATTACTAGTTTATGTTTTGCAAACCTCCCAGCTCCACCTAGAACAACCGATTAAGGTCCATGTAATGTAACTTCGATTTTCTTGTGAGCAGAGCTGTTTTCTTCTGCAGCAGTGTTTCCTTTTTTAATGAAAGCCTTTTCATCAGTTAGATATTTCCCATTTCCTAGACAAAACTTCTAAGGTATAACCAGCAGTTTCTCCATTCTCCAAAGTGAAACATTTAATGCAAACATGTTATTCTGCATTAGGCAAGTTCTAGTAGAGAGAAAGATAACCAGCAATTTTTGTAGCACCCATTTTCCTCCTAGTTAAAGACAACATTTCGCATTAAAGGAAGAAGTTTTGTTTTGCATTAATCCTATTAAATATTTAATAGCTCCTGGGCAGCAGTAGATCTTGGAGTTTGAGCAACAGTATTTCTTTTTATATGTGTATACAGGTTTTTTTCCTATAGGAAGAAGAATATGACTTCTGGTAAATACTGAAAAAGATGACATGGGAGAAGCAGAACCTGTCCCTCCCCGGGGGCAACAGCACTCACTGCCACTGGGCCCGGCCGCTCCAGCCGCGTTTCGATTCAACCTCCCAAAAAAACGAAGCATCTAGGTCTGGAGATCAATTATTTTTTTTTAACACAGCCCTTCCTGCCTTTTCATTAAAGCCTGCCTGCTGGTGCAGTTCTTCCAGACCTTTTCAAACCACCCCTTTCAAACTATTTTACTAGAGGTCATATCTCATGTAGTTGTAATTATAGAGCTAAGGCGAGAGCAGAGGGAGAGGCCGTCAGAGCACTCAGAAAAGGCTCTTTGATTCAAGGTGAAGACCAGCTTTTCCTCTACAGACTATAAAGCATTAAAAAAAAATACACCTCTGAGAGCAAAGACAGGTACGGTAAGTGTGCCTTTTATCCCTCAAGAGCTCACAGGTCTTCAGCCAGCAAAATCCGCTCAGAATTTAACTTTCCCTGGCTGTACCCGTGCTGCTGGGAGCACAGCATCGGCAGAATTAAACACGTCCGACAGGTACAGTGCTCAAAAACCAGGCCATTTGCAAACCCCGCTGTATGGCAGTGTGGAGGATTGCCAACGAAAGAGCTTTTGTCCCTAGCTCAGAGTCAGCAGTGCAAATAGTGAGGCTGTGGAGAGTGGTCCTTGAGAAGTTTTTCTGGTTCAAGAGGCTGGACTAAGGAGGACAAGAGGTTTTGGTAAGAAACAAGGCTGTGGTAAGGGACCCTCACAGGGCTGGGATGGCGGAGGAGTTCGTTGTGTCCAGGTACCTCAGCGCCCTGGGGCCTTTGCTTTATCTTAAGGTTTCTCAGCAGTGCTGGTGTGTTAAATCAATGCTCCTGTGCTCACTAACCAGCCCGTAACTGGGAGCAAGTAAGTCTGCAGGTGCAGGAGCTGCAGCTGAGCAGTTTGGATTAATCACAGCACGTTGCACGGTGATGCAAACTGCTGGCAGACCCAGACACCCATGGGTGCCGAGCTCCCATAAGGGCCACAGAGAGCTCAGAGAGCAGATAACACAAAAGTAACATTGAATCATTAACGTTACCGATTACATTTCAATTGCACCTGAAATGAAGGATCAGAATTGAAATTCTATTTGCTTACCTCCTCTCAAAGCAAGGCTGAGCCCAGCCATCACGGCACGCGTGACACTGTACCACCTCCAAAGGTAAGAGGCCTGAACACTCCAAGCACCCAAAGTTCCCCAAGAGAAGCCACTCTGCTGGATAAAAATCTGTTACAAAACTGGAATACTTCTTTTTATGCCATTGATGGAAATAAGATGACAAGTCGCCCTTTGCTGGGTAAACAGAGAGAGCAAATGGTGGGAGAGCAGGTACAAGTCCAATGGGGGATGCTCACCTTTCACAGAAGCTTTGGCTGATCTTCCGTGAATCTTTCTGGTTTGTCCTGCTCTTTAAAAGAATATCCTTAGCTAAATTAAGGTTTCTTTGAAAGCTGGATTAATGTTTCCTTTCCATTCGCTGTATGTTCTACCATCTCTCAAATCCTCGTATTTTTACCAGGCAGCAAACATGCCTGTTGGTCCCCCGGAGCGTGGCAGCTGGTCCCTTTGGAGCCCAGCAGCTCTCTGCTGCCGCAGTGGCTCCGGCCACAAAGTCAGCAGAAGAAGAAAACCACTTTGAAAGCCTGAAAACTTACTGAGGAATATTTATAAAAACTCAAATCCGAAGAAATACATCCAATCGAGCAGCTTTGACTCAGCCCAGCATTTCTGATGCAAGTTTAGCAGCGTGCTTGTCTATCATTTAGCAGATTGCATTAACAAGTAGAGGAGAAAATGTCCAAATGAAAAGGACCGCAGATTTATTTTACCAAAAGCCACTAGATGGTGGTGCAAGGACACTTTTCTGCTCTTTCTCTTACACTTGGATCCCCATTTAGTTGTGCTTGAGCCGGCCTTTCCCGCTAACATGGGCTGTTGTTGTCTTTGCTTTTTATTTTTAGGAGCTGACAGAGGTCATTTGGAAACTTATCACTTGCTGACTTTTCATCCTGTGTGGAACAGGCCTCAGGCAACAGTTACGATGTGATTACTGCTTGCCAAATAT